TGAAAATTTCAAGGTTATGAGATTTGTTTAATTGATTTTAAGTAATAGTTTCTTTTTTAATACCATCTTGTTAATTTATTAGAATCTACATCAAAATGAAAATTCATTTTACAGTTTGTGGTAAATTTATTTCTACAATGACTTTGTCTCAGTGTAAGTAAGAGCATGCTATAGGGCACTACTACTGTTACTGCTGCTGCTGCTAATAATAATAATAATAACAACAACAACAACAATAATAATAATAATGTTACTGTTTTATATGGGTCAATGGATGAAGAGTCTCCAATATTTTCTTCCTTTTCATTTCTAACTTTTTCCCATTATTTTAATGCATTCTGTGCCTGGCTGCACCAGTCTTTTTGTTCTATCCCACTTCATGAGATACATAGTCATACTAGGTATATGAATCATTCTGCAGTTTCTAAAAGCATGGTTACCACTTAGAATGCCTAAAAATATTGATATATGTTGGTTTAATAGATTACCAAAAGCAATTACCTTGTCAGCATACCCATGGATAATCTGTGTACATAAACTAGAATTTGTATGAAATATATTCTGTGTTATTATAGTACACTGTAGATTTTTTCTTCAATTACAGTCTTCAGTTCCTTGCAATGGTGGACAAATCTGTAACATTATCAAAGGCTTCACTTATCATAACACAAAGTATGGGCATATTAGTGGTGCTGTATTTTATGTGTACCAGTGGTTCCCAACAGGTTCTCATTCACAGACTGGAGAAACAAAAGTGGGTCTGTTAGGACTGCTTGTCATGCAGTGTCAGTACAAATAACGGTCTACACATTTAATTATTAGAATTATATCTACATGTGTGTATTTACAATATAATTAACATTACTTTATGATTTAATAAAATTTAAGATATGTTAACATCCATCTCAATTGATTTTGCATAATAACAAGCAAAAGGGGCACACGGTAGCATAGTTTGTTGAGGCACTATACTACATGCCAGAAGATCATGAGTTCATTTCCCAGTGAGGTTACTTAATTATTCCAGCCACATTATGGCCCTGGAGTTAACCCAGCCTCTGTCAGAAATGAATAGCAGGACTTTTTCTAGGGAGGGGAAGGGGGGTAAAGAGCAGCCAGCTTGTAAAGCTGACAATCTCACCGTCATCTGTGAGCTGGTTGCCCATAAAATGTGAGAGTCTCGATATCCCACAACCATATGGGCCTCCACAGCCTGTTATAGGGATAGCTTTACATTTTTATTGAAAAACAAAAAAAGATCATCATAAATTAATTATATTTTCAGGTTAGTGTACAGCAAGAGAAGACTGATAGAACTGACATAAATGAGCCCTGTGAGCTAAAGAATAGTAATCTTCGATACAAATTATTTTCTTCTATAAGAAATCAGAAATTAAAAAAATATTTTTAAAATTATATTTTTTCCAGTTATGATGTTGTATATTTATTACATAACGCTAATTACAACTTATTTCCAAGCATAAACTTAGACTAGTATTTACTTTGTGACACGTTCTATATCCAACAGTTTGTACTTTCAACTCATGTATGGATCAACTGAACTTGAAATAAATATGAATATGAATATGAATATGAATAAGCCACATGCTAGTAGTGGTTTGTGAATCACCTGTTGGGAAACACCGATCTGTACTATTTTAACATTTTGTACATATACCCTGAAGGAATGAACCTAACGTTAAAAGCTATGGTCACATTGTATGCATATATTAGAGCATTATCACTCAAATACATAGTAGCATGGAAAACGTAGCAATTTTATAACCTTCAGCAGTTAATGTACAACTACAGTGGATTTATAGACTTAACCTGTAATTAGGAGAACATTACACATACACATGAACACACACAATTAAAAATAATGAAAGTAAATTTAATACATTAAAGACATACATTCAGAATAATGTTTGCCTGCAACATAATTTTTTTAAAACATAATGTTACTATAAAAACAGATATGAGTTTCTGTTAGTCATACAACTGTACATTGTTTCTTTCTTTCACAAACAAACTCCAGATTCTGCATTAAAGTCAATTTTCTCACATATTAAATAGTCTGTGTATTCATTAGCATGTCCTATATCTCTGCCCCTATTCATTTTACACCATGTTATAAAATTTATTACTTCTAAGACATAGTATTTTGTAATTATGTACTTATACATAAGTTGGACTCCAAATACTGAATATAAGGTGCACTTTCTAACAAAAACTTTATGATAATATAAAAAAAAATCTTGGTGAGATTAGTTTAACAGATTCACAACTAATTGAAATGTCTAAAGGTGTGAACTGAGCAAAAATTGAGCAAAATAAGTATTTTAAGACTTTTACAGTAATTCCATTCCCATAAATACCCACTAGAAATTTGTTTACATAATTTCATAGAGCATTCATTGTTACATTTCAATACAGAATTCACATATAAAAAAAATCTCTGTACTGTATGCTTACTAGAAAGATCACTTTGTTACTAACAACTTTTGGTTTGGATCTCAAAAAGTTTTGTTTTACTTGATCTCAAAGTAGTTGTGAATTACACTACTAATGAGAACGTTTTCCATTGTGACATGTGCAGAATTTCACAATAGGCATCCTGTGCAGAGATCCTGATTATAAATTTACTAAGTATTTTCCAAAAAATTAAAATTCACACGATGCAAAATTCAGTAAGCAGGCTATTTTAGTGGTAATGGTCTAGGGCTGTATGAGGGAGGGGGGGCATTTGATTCGGATCTCAGCTGGAACACCAGCTTTCCTGACTCAGACTTTTCTTCCAGTTCCTTACACACCATTTGGTTATAGAGTGACTGTCCTAACATTTGATGCTATATAATGTGAGATACTGATGGTGTGGTAAAGAAAACCACAGAAAATTTTACAGTGTAACCATAGCTTCCATTAAATTGTATTTTCAGCATGTAAAATATTCGGTTATGGTAGTTTCATAAACTAATGAATACATAGTGTTACATATCAATAACAATACACAACATTATTTTCTACACATACACTTTGTACACTTAAGAATGAACACATACCAAAATGTACACATTCTACAAAAGCCCAAAAATGCGTTGACATTAAGAAATCATCTGTAATGCTTGTACTGTTTGCATCTCTTTGTGTATGCAAAAACTGAAGCATGGAATGTCATCATCATCATAAACTCTGCAATAGATGCATAAATTGTATCCCATATGATTGACAGATATGGGATTAGAGTTGCTCTAACAGTAATCATTCATCTGCTTGTTTATTAATATCCTTCACAATTTTGTCATTTCCTTCATTCCACATAAATCATGGCCGTGGAACAGTTCTCTCAGTGTTTGTATTTTAAGTCATCAGTTAAGTGTGCTTTATTTTGTTCTTCTTTTTCTTCCTATTGGATGAAAAAAAAATCCCCTCTCTTTAAGGACTTGTATGTTTAATGTTTCTGAGAAGTAAGAAAGCAAAGTTGTGGGTGTCTCTGCATTGTCTTTGTCTTGATTAAACCTTTTGCCTTTGTAATATTATCTTCATGGGTATATGGATAAGGTGTTTTAAAAATTAATAACATTAATTTTACTTGATTATAATGTTCCAAAATATTTAGCTTGTGCTTATTGTTATGTGAATACTAAACCGTGGGACAAGAATCTCGATAACTGAAGATGTAGTTCAGGAAAGAAAATCTTTCAAGGTCAGTAATACATTCTGTGATAAGAGGACAGAAGAAAACATTTCCTGGTAAAAGGGAATGAAGAAGCTTGGTATATAACCTCTAAGTTGACTATTTAAATAAGCAGGAAAACATATTCTATGTTCATTTGCACTCCTTTCATCACTAATGCCAGAAATATTCATGTCTTAACCTAATTAAGCTATAATGAGCCTTCAGTGTCCCCACAGGCTAGCACACGTCATATATTTATGGCATGTTCTGAAATGAGAATCAAAACACAAGGGAGAACATGTAGCCCTACAAATTTACTTGCCCAAAATTTTATAAACATTTATTTTGTCTTCTCCATTTTATATTTTATTTAGGAAAAATTACTTCTTTTGTTTGTGCGTTGTATACATGGTAATTTAGACATATCTTACAGAAGTTAAACATCACAAATAATTTGAATCAACAAAGAAAAGGCAAGAGAAGCTTTTGTCAGTGACACTGTTTCTTCCTGAAGAAGAATTCTCATTTGTTTCATGGAAAGGGTCAATTCTGAGCAGATTCAATATGTACTCTCTGTAGACACACCCTTGTAGAAGCACACAAGTTACCACTACATGTAACTTAAAATAATTCACACTTATGAAGATAAATTTTGGTAAATTTTATAAAATATGCAAAAGTAGATCGTTTATGACATATTTACGAAAATTAGAGGATCTTGTGAATCTTAAGCGTATTGACCATTCAGAAGTAATATGTATAATTAAGAATTTACAGTTTCCATTTCTTATATACACGTATGGTCATACCACAAGCCACAATGATAAATATATAACATTTTCTATATCCTGTTCTTCTAACTTGATATGTTAAGCTATGGCAAAAGAGTAACGAGCAATGAATTGGGAAAATGTTAGATGAAGCATTTGTGACCTATTTTAGGATAACATTTCAGAATTTGCCTGGAGGAACTGAAGAAAATCATGAAATATCTCAATCAGGATTGTTGGTCTCAGGGCATGCATTTCAATTTGTAAACTCCTAAATACAAAGCAGGAATGTCAATCATTACACCACAACATATGACAGGTAATTGTATGAAAGAGTAAGTTAGTAAATGTCATGTCTATGGTTCCACATATTTTATAGTTCCATAGTAACGTTGCAGATGATGAGTATTTGAACACTGTTTGAACAGTTGCCTGTCAAAAAACAGATCACATCCTGTTTCAAAATTTAAGCCATACAATTATTTCTGGTCTGGTTGTTTATGGTTATGCAGTGATAAATATGAACTTATGCTTATTTCGCATTAATACAGTCAGAAGTGAATCCTGAGGCAGAGAATCAGGTTGTGGGAGCCGAATCACAGCAGCATGAAGTCCGAGTGCAATACACAGATCCAGGCCAATCAGCACAGCAGATCTACAATGACCAGGAGGAAGCAGCAAGTGGAGGTAGGCATGCTGTTACTGACACAGAATTTTGAAAAGCAAAATTTAAGAAGCTCTGGGAAGAACTAACCACCTGCTTTCTTTGATATTACACAGACTGCATAGAAAATGATGCGTCCAACAATCTTCTATTGTTCCGCGCATATTCATTGCAATGGTAACTGTTTTACCAAGCCATTGTTCAGCAACAGTAGCGGGATAAACATACAGACACTGAGACTAATGGGAGGGATTTATGAAGTATGCAATTGAGGTGGGCTTCAGGTGCCATGATATACATACCAAGTTTCATAAAGATTGGTTCGGGCATTCAAAAGTTGGTGAGGGGTGGATACACAGACACACATACAGAAGGTGATCTCATAAGCCTATTTTTACTTATTCAAAATAATGAATGTAGGCTAAATATCAGTTGCATTAAACAGAGATACAACATGCAAATTGTTGTAATAATATTGTTTTGAAGAAAGTTGGAAACTTTTGTAACTTGGATGGTATCATTTCATGAAATGGAAAATCTAGATCAAGAAGCTGTAGAACCGATAAAGTTCAGCAGATAATCAGAAATATCATCTGCAAGTAGGAGATGTCAGAAGTTACGAGTTACATTATGTAAAATATTATTTTTTTCTTTTTTAACCTATGAAACAGATACATATATAATGTGAAACAAAACATCAGGTAATATTTGAATGTCAGCACTTCTTTTAAGTTAAAAATTCCAGTTTTGGCCCAGCAGCAACTATTCTGACTAAAGCTTTATGTTGTCTTCCACAGAAACTCCAGTAAAATGCTGAGATATGATCTCACTACCTTCCACAGTTCATAATTCAGAATGAATCTGCTATTCAGTGCTGCATAACCAGTTCCATTAAAAAATAAAAACTCCGATTCTCTTCTAGGGAATGATAATCCTGCAGGTGCAGTGGATGGAGATACTGAGGAAGACCCTCGCAACAAGAGGTACCTGAGCTTCGGGTTTGGTGCCGATTCAAGTAGTAGCAGCAGTAGCAGCAGTAGTGGCTCTGGTGGTGGGTCAGGAAACTTCCTCTTTGACATCATTAGGGTGAGTAGGTCATGAAGGAAAATAAACCTACAATTAGATGCGGCTTTAAAATTTATTCACTGACTGATTGATCACAGTGACTTTGCAGCTTTGTTTCTGAAGTATTACTCAGCGCTTTCACCCCCTCCCCTCACATTTCCCAGGTACTGTCATAACCTCGAAACAAGTTTTGTTTGCTGTTATTGAGATCAGTATTTCAGGATTTACTACGTATCTTGTTATTCTCCTACTTTTACCTGGGAAATGAATTGTAATACCCTTTCAAGTTACAATCTTTGAGCAGATACAAGAATTAAAATGATCATAGAATGCGTGAAGTGAATGTATTCCACACTGGTGTGAAGAAACGAGAACAAACCGGCAGATAATATATTGAGGGTTGGCCCATGAGACTTACTAGATTGACACAAGTATAGTTAGGAATGGTCCTGAAGAGTTAGTAAGTCTATAACAACAGTCCAAACTGGTACGTTCAGCAACCTAATCATACAGGTTAGAAACCTGACATTTAACCCTTTAGTATGCTGTGATACCCATGGAATGTTAAAATTTTCAAAATTCTTCCTTGCATGATTTAATTTTTTTTTTTCATTGAACTATGCTATTATAAAAATTTCTTCAGTTATTAGTAATTGGTTCAGTACTAACAGAATAGTTTATTAATTAGTTGTATATATACAATTTTACTAAATTGAATGGATAGGTTTAACCTGCATCATGAGTAAAAGTGCTGATACTTCCCATTTTATAATTTGCTAACAAAAATTATTTCCTTCTCTGCCTCACATTATGTAACTTTAGAATCATTAAATAATTTACAGTGCATGGATATTAATCTGCTTTCAGTGTGAATAGCTAATTAAAACTCTAAAAGACTTAGAAGTATTTTTTCTTTATACAGATAGTTTCTTGAATTAATGAGAACGGAAAATAATTTTATGTACCAATAACACCTTTCTCATCATTCTGTGTCAATATAAATGAACATTAATCCACTGAGCATTGGTAGAAATGTTGTATGATATAAAATCTAAAGTGTGGGAATAGTGTCTAGTTCAGAAGAGATTAAAGTAAAGAATGATTGTTATTTTGATAATCAGTCAGATCTGCTGTTGCAAGAGTACATGTTCATGAATAGACCATACAAATAAGTAAAAGTAAAAATGTATTAGATTGTATTTAACACAAAGTTCTTGATAAAGTTACCTAGAATGAACAGAGCTGAACAGTTTCAGTATCATATTTACTAATATATATAAGCTGCACATTTACCCTAGAACTGACAATTTTAAAATCAGGGTGTGGCTTGTAAGCAATTCTTAAAAAAAATCATTGGGTTTTTTAGATCTAGTAATGGTCGATATTTCATCGTATAATCAAAGGATGACAGTTTAACTGCAATTAAGCAATACATTCAGACAAACTCATTGCAAGTCACTATTTCCAGCTAGTAGAGTTGTAATTGAAATGCATCTTATGTAATTTTTGATGTTATTAGAGCCTTCCTTCAAACAAAAAAATTGAGTGAACATGATTTATAAAATACGTGAAGCAATGTGAAACATTGTTGTGAGTTGTTTTGATTATCGTGCATAAGATAAGTGCATAAAATACTTCTCTTGTTTTGAAGACAATGTCATTTTTGACATGCAGGTTGTATTCAAGCAAATACGCTAAATCCCGGTGTGTTTCAGAGGCAATATGAGAGAATAAATATGAACAAATGGTTTTGTTCATGAAAGTATCAGCCTGTGCAAAATAAATTAAAACATAGTACATCATGTGATCACCTTGTGTATTGGTTGTACTAGACACTTTAGGCCAACAATGGGAATGTGACGGTAGGCAGAACATAACCTAAAAGCTAATATCCATTTAACAAAGTTTTACCATTATTATGTTGATACTACACAACGTTTACAGCATTATATATTTAAAAATTTCCCTGTTGATGTCTTTCAAGATAATGATTTTAAATTTGTGATCGATCGCCTGACCTTTGTACAAAGTTTCACAAAATGTAGGCAGTTGATTTAAAAGTTACAGTACGATGAATATCTACAATATGCAATTGCTCTAAGGACTTTCTTTTCAGAACTTTCCACCCACAATTAACATAGCACCCTAATCTTCTCTAAAAACCTTTTCGACAAACATTTTAGTGTTTACTGCTTCATGCATAACAGATGTGATTTTTGAACACAGACCAGCAGTCATAACTGATGTATGACTTTCTGTCACTGGTGCCTACAGAGTAAAATTGGACCTTTAGAAGAAAACTTTTTTATCTTTTTCTAGTTGTCAAGAATAAAAGAATGATGAATCGGTTCACCATTGAAACAAGTCATTCTTGGTAAACAGTTTTCCACAAGAGACACTGCACTTACAGATGCCCTTGTAATTTCTCCAACCTGCGCCACAAAATGTGCAAAATATTATAAAATTCTGTCTCTTATATTATATAGTATGTATGCAAGATATCATTTACTATTTAATATTTGTGGGGGAAATTAAAAGAGAGCAAGAGAGAATATTAACAAATAAATTCTGAGACAAGTGGGTTTGTTGAGTCCAGCTTATTTCTTCCTAACAACAACAATTTCTGTAATAATTTATTATGTTTTGCACTAGTGAAAATCATTGTAGAGTAACTGAATTACTCAGCAAAATAATAATAAATTTCTTACAATGATAAATCAGTCATGACAGATACAATGATAATATTCATTAAACATAAATATGTGGATTTGGAGTGATTTCATTAAAATGTATTCTCCAACAAAATATTTGGTATTTGTTTCTTTAGTTCATTTAGTATTACATTTTGCTTTTGTTTTTGAATTCTAAATCTTCCTGCACTTTTTACTATTTGCTTTCAAAACTATGAAAGATATAAACTTACATACAAATTTTCTCATTCTTTATAATAAACTTCATACTTGTGCAAGTAGGGGCACATGGTAGCACAGTTGGTTGAGGCACTATGCTACAAGCTGGAAGGTCGTGGGTTCAAGTCCTGATGAGGTCATTGGATTCTTTTTCATTTGGCCTAATCCCTCCAGTTCTTCATTTGGATAGCTTCACCTACATATTGATTTCAACTTCTCACTTGGGTCTAAATAAAGGGAACCACAGGCACTCATTATTCTGATTGTGACTCACATAGCAAACAGCGAGCAGGATGGCCCGTACTGCAGGCACACTATACCGAGTTGTGGCGGGCACAGAAAGCCTGGATCTAGGGCTTGGCCTAGATATATCTGCAAGCAAATCGACAACCAGGACATCGACCAATCAGACTTCTACAATGACTACCAACAAAGCGAATGGGACAGCCCGTGTGGTAATAACCAACTCACAGTCCTTGTGCCGCCATGCAGTCTGTAACTCATTACTTTACCCTGCTTCTCTTTGCATGCTTTCTGAAAGCTATGAAAATATTCACCTTTTTAAAATATTTCAGCAGGCCTTTGTCAGCATGTCTGCTTCTTGCTGCTTTTAGCAAAGAAACTGTTGAATTTTATTCTGGACTGGTGCACAAGGCTTTGAATGATTAACACCTGGGACAATGTACATTTCATTTCCTCATTTTGGGCTCTTATTCTCTACTTCCTACAAACATGAGATATCCCATGCTGGATCTGAGGTTCTCACAACAGTGACTATGAAGAGTACAGTTTTCAGGGCCGTAACATCTTGTAGTTCAGAGAGAGCTGAATGTTTAGAGTAAGATGTTCGTGGTTTCTTACGTGGCTTGCTTTTTGACCCCAAAGATGAAGGTGACATGTTCCTCCAGAACATCAGGGTGTTTCCAAACTGCTTGGTGTTACGACACAAAGAATGTACTCATCATATATACTGCTGTAATTTACACATAATTTTAATTTGTGGCTTCAGTTTGAAAAATAACCTGAATAGAATGTTACACAACTTTTTCCTGAAAGCTGAATTCACTTGTTAAACTACAACTTCAGAAACCTTACGACAAGAATTACAAATAACTTTTTTGTCAAGCTATTATCCTCTCAGCCAATATTAAAATAACATAAATACTTTTCTCTCTCTCCTGTCATTTGTTATATAAATTTAATTATCAAAGCCAGAAGCAGTCATTTTTTTAAGAACAGTGAAACAGGAATGGAAGATTGTAATTCTATTCATGGAACATATCTTCCCAAAATGTATTAATTTATGATTTTCATATCTCAGTGACCTCAGATTTATATATTTGTTTATTTATATTGCAGAATCGTTGTACTATAGACACTACATTATATGGAGTCATACATTACCTTTCCTTTCATTTAAAATTAAAGTTGCCTCAACTCTCTGAAACCTGAAATTTATCTAAATAGAATATAAAAACTGAATTCCTATTTTGCAGGAAAGACTGTGTGTCTTCATTAAAAAGGCCAAATGGGTAATGTTCGGGAAAGTAATCACTTTATTCAAAATCAGTAAATTCACTCTGTGGGCTAAATTCAGAATTTAAAAATGTTAAAATTCATTGTACATATAGTGTCCACCTTATTAAAAGGGTTAACCTTTTGATTGCATGTTAAAAAATTGTAGATGCTTCTCCTTGACCCCCAAAATTATAAACATGTGACACATTTTGCAGTGTAATTATCTCACCAGAAGTTCACCTCAGATGTCCACAGCTATATGGCAATATTTCTCACTATATTTCCAGCTCATCTGGATAAGTATTAGATAGTTCAGTAGCATAGCAGGAGAACTGAGTTCATTCCTTGGCCAAGGTGACATATATGGCAGTTTTCTCCAAAATATTGGTTGCGTTCTACCCTTTTTTTTTATTGCTAGTGGGGTGGGACTAAGTCCCTTGTACTGCAGCCAGTTCTGGCCTAATATACCGGCCCCAGATGATACGTGAGGGTGATTGTGGAGCAATTGGTGGAATAAAGATTGGCAGGGGAAACCAAAGTACTCGGAGAAAACCTGCCCCCGCGCCACTTTGTCCACCACAAATCCCTCTTGAC